AAATAATATACAAGAACCTAACTTACCGTACGACTCACCATATTAAGTTAATGAAAAAATTATTCGTTCAAAAATCTATGGCTCCTGTCATTTGGCAGATTCTATCTCTCTCTCTCTCTCTATGTATATTTGCTACAAAGGGGAGTTACAAACAAATTAGAGAATAATAAATTCAATGCCCATTTAACCAGTTTGAAAAGGTGTCACAATGCTCTATGAACAAATAGTGATGGAGAGCCTCGAGTTCATAAGGCAATTTAGTGTAACTTAGGGGAATACGATGAGTCTATTGTGTTAATTAGTTTATATAAGTAATTACTTTTGCAATAGAGATGACAAAATTTGAATGTGTCAATCAAGAATTAAGAGAATACTAATTTGAGTCTCAATATTTCTACCAAATGTGTTCCATCTCTCTTGTTATTAAAGAAGTTAGCTAACATAGAAGGAATCGACTTCTATGATAGACTTTCTAATTCGTGCATAATAAAAAAGCTTATGTCTTTTCAAGACTCTTTAAACATCGACAACTATCGGATTGTTAGTACCCAAATTTTTTCTTAAAGTCAACCATTTAGTTTTCTTAACTACTTCTAATAAGTTTGCTTGGAGTCACTATGCTCATGTTATTCCATACAAATCTATTCGTGTTAAGCTTAAATTACTTCAGTATATGAACTTTTAAAACCCACCTAAGGGAATCTTATAGAATACCATAATTGATGGGGACATGGGGGTTGATACAAGATGTTTGAAATTTAAAGCCAATGTGATAATGCTAGAGCTATAAGGACGAGTCATCCTTTTGCTAATATTCAATATCTCTTTATTTCTCTATTTTTACATGATTCAAGCTATATGAAGAAAAATTATATTTTAGCTAATAATACCATATGTGTTTATGTTAGCCTTACGATTCCAACAGGTAATCATGGATGGTGAATGGTTTCCTCCTTACTAAGATGACATATGGAGCATTGATCCTCATTCCTTATGCATTCGTATTTCTACTTTGCATTAGTGAGGAGACAATTTGATGTTAGCAGTCATATAAATTGTTGAAATTACTTGGAGACTCTGAGGGACTAATTGTTTTCCAATGAAGCTTAGGGAAA